TTATTTTTTATATTAATTAATATTAAAAAATTATATTAATTATACGTTAACATTTGTCCTTTAAAGCCCAAATTAGATAAATCCAAACTTCAATTCACCAAACATTTCTCTGATGGGTTTAATGTTCTTGGTAAAAGTTAATCCTCTCCAGCTGAGTAACATGGGAATCTATTTTGGGTGGTGTTATAGAGCTAATTTTTTTATATCATTTTTTATATAATTTTTATATGTTATTAAATAAGTGGATATATTTAATATCATGAGTTTTGTTAGCCAAAGAAATCACATTTATGTAAAACCGAAATAGGAGTATAAGGGTATTCCAACCTATGAGTGAGTATTGGCTATGGGTACACCCGTTATTTACAGGTATTTTACTTGTTTGAATAAATATCATATCCAAACTGTAGGAAAAATGGGTAAGTAATGAGTAAGAAAATAGTATACTTATAAATATTAAGTCAAGTAACAAATATAGAAGTTCAGAATACTCTTTGATCAACTTGTTTAATCGACTTATTTAGCTTATCTATTATCTATACTCATATAATTAAAATTTTACATGTAATTATTATACTTAATATCAGTATAATAATAATTTTCAAAAAAAAATATAAATTAAAGTTAAATAAAACCTATAAACCAAACAAATCACAAATGCAGTAATAATAATTTATTTAAATAATAAACTCTAAATCATGCACATAACACACATAATAATAGCATCTCATATAAGACCTTTTCTTTTTCGAAACCAAGTACATAAATATATATTCACAAGTAACCTAGTACTTATTAGGTTAAATACCAAGTATAGTAGTATACATCTTCAAATATTTAAATAAGTACCAAGTTTGAAAAGCCATACTCAAGAATTTTCAAGTTAAGTACCAAATATAACTCATACCCGACCTATGCTAGAACATACTCACCTCTAACCTATTGGCTGTTAATTTTTCTATATTTGATAAGAAATTAATATAAAGAAAGTTAGTAGAAAAATTATCAAATGAATCTTATATGGAAAAAGTTAGGAAAAGCTTTTTCCTTTTAAAAAGTGTGGGAAGAAAGGCTCATAAGTTGAGCATTATATTAAAGAAAATATTAGTTAAAAATGCCACTTTACGATCTTCTCTTTGTTGTAATATTAATATGTAAAATTATGTAAATAATATTGTTTGGTTAAATACCAACTTTCCCAAGAAAATTTTTTTTAGAAAAGTAAATGGTTAGAGTATTGCATAAAATGTTAAAAAGTATAATCCGAAAAGTAAGTTTTATAATGAAATTTTATTAA